CAACTTTCTTCTAATAGAGGAGTTCGGGGCTACACATTTCCCCCTAAATTCTGCTTTAGCAGCATCCAATTTTTATTTATTTTTTAATTAATTAATTATTTTAATTGAAGCAATGATTGACATTTTCCCCGTCCACCTCCCCCTCTCCCCTGCCCCCCGCTCGTCCACTGTCCACGTCCGTGAGTCTGTGTGTCCTGCTCATTTGTTGCTTTCGGAGCAACCAGTTTTTACATACGATGTCTTTTCATTTTCATTCAGTTCAAAGTCGTTTTTCATTTCCCTTTTCATTTCTTTTCTGGCCTGTGGGTTATTTAGAAGTGTGTCGATGGTTCTGCAGATATTTGGAGATTTTCCAGAAGTATTTTGTTGATGTCTCATTTGGTTACATTTCAGTCAGAGAAAATGGTTTGTGTGATCTGAATACTTTTAAATCTCTCGAGACTGTTACGGGTCAGTATGGTCTATCTGGATAAGCGTTCCCCGCACACGTACCGCGTGCAGGTCCTACCGCCACTGCGTGGGTGTCCGGTAATGTCACTTCAGTTGGGCTGGTGGACCGTGTTTCAGGCTTCCCGATGTTCTGCTCATGTGTTCTGTCAGCCCCAGAGAGGAGCAGCGGCGTCCCCAGCCGTGCGCGTGGGCTCATCTGTTTCTCCTGGTAGTTTGTGGGTGTTGTGGGACTGTGCTATTAAGTGCATAAACATGTAGGATCGTTACGTCTCCCTGATGGATTGCTCCTATATTAATGTGACTTGACTATCTTTACCGTGAAATCTATGTTTCCTGTTAATAATAATCACTCCAGCTTGTCCACTGGCCCGCCCACCCACAAACAGTCACCGTTCTCTCCGCTTCCCAGGGAACATCCTCAGTGGCTTCTGCCGGCAACCCCCCACGTCCATGCCCAGGCGGGTCCTGGAGGCCATGGCGCTGTCCACTGTTATGAAGTGTGCCCCCCACGACGATGGCTGCTCCCTGCTCCTGCGTGTGCATGCCTCCCTCACGCTGCACGGTGAGGGGGTGACAGCCAGGAAACGGGGTGGCGAACTTGGGAGGGGCGGCCGGGGGCCCCGCTAATGGCACTTCCCAGAGAGGAGGGGAGGAGGGGGCCTCACTGTCCAGGCCTGTGGTCTGATGAGCCTGCCCGGCCCCTCCCTCCATCAGAGAGCCTTCGGGGCCTGGAGGCCTGCTCCATGAGCCTGGACACCCAGCAGACACACTGTCACAGTGTGCGGGTCCGCAGGGCCTCCCGCCAGCTGCAGGCGGGGCAGCAGGTAAGGCCAGGGCCTGACCCACACCTGCCAGTCCAGCCCCAAGCTGCCTCTGTCCTTGCCCTGTCTGCCCTCCCCTCCCGGACACCCGATTCACAGCCCGTCCTGAGGCTCTGCCTCCCAAGGGCCAAATACTGGGTGCCCCTCTGCCTCTACTCCCACACCCTGGGGTCCAGCTGTGCCAGGAGGAGCTGGCCTGGCCGGGGGTGGGTGGACGGGCGGAGGCCCCAGGTCCTGGCTCACTCCTGTACCTATCCAGCTCCAGGTGAACTTTGACTGCTTCGAGGTGAGCGTGGCCCAGAGCCTCTACATCACCGTGAGGACTGTCCCCCACTTCTGTGGGGTCCAGCTGGAGCAGCAGTACCATGTGGAAGGTGGGGCCCATGGGGCCAGCCTGGGCACAGCCGCCTGGGGCCTCTAGGGACTGACTTGGGGTGGGACTCGCCCAGGACAAGAGGCAGGGCCCACGCTGGACAGCTCCAGCAAGGTCATTGGTTAATTTGGGGTCACGCCTCCTGCAGAGGAGGGACTTCTGGAAGCTACTTGGGCAGAGGCCCCGCTGAGGAGGGGCCCCTCGGGGCGGTGTGGGCTGGGGTCCACCGGTGCCTCTGTCATTCGCAGACTGCGAAGACGAGGACGTGGGGAGCAACGTGCCCAGCTGCCATGGTGAGACGCACCCCACGCCCTCCCCCCGGGGGAACCTTCTCCGCACCCCGCTTGGGGAGCGTCGGTGGGGCCTCAGGTGAACACTTCCGGGTCTAGCAAGGTCACCACCTTGAGGCTCTCAGGTGGAGCTCTGTGCCCATGACCCTGTGTCCTGTGACCTCTGGTCCCAGCGTGGCCCCCACTTGCCACTCCCCTACAGCCGAGAAGCTGTCCTACTGGGTGGACCGCAGCCGCAAGGTGGTTCTGGTACAGGTTCCGGAGGCCCCTGAGGGCCCCGACTACTACGTGCGGCTCTGCCGCAAGTGGTTCACCTGTGTGGACGCGGGCGCGCCGGTGAAGGTGAGGCCCAGGCCCAAGCCCTGCACCATCCAGGGCCAAGCCCCGCCCCACACCGCCCAGACCCAAGCCCCGCCCATCACCGCCCAGACCCAAGCCCCGCCCACCACCGACACCACGCCCCTCCGCCCGCCCACCCCAGACCCACCCACCAAACCCTAGTCCCTAAGCCCTCCAGTCCTGTCTGCTGCAGGTGACAGCAAACAGCGTCTCCCGGGAGGTCTCTCTGCCCTATAGTCAAGAGCTGCCGTGCCTGTGCCTTGAGGTCAGTGAGGGTGTGGCCTTGACTGCCAGGAGGGGACAAAGCGATGGGCAGGCCCTGCGCTGACCCCGATTCCTCCCACAGAGCTGGCCTGCGACCCCCGACGCCGTGCGGATCCAGACCTGCCCCTTTGAAGCTGGCAAGTGCCCTGTGGTGCCAAGGGGCGGGAGAGAGGAGGGTGGGCGATGGCGGGTCAGGAGTGTCCAGCAGGGTGGGGGCCGGTCTGATCCAGCTGGGCGGGCTGACACGTACCCGCGAGGCATGGGGGCAGGCCCAGCCTCAGCCGTCGAGCCTGCTCTGGCAGCCGCAGGTGTGTGCTGGGCGAGCCCCTCCAGGTGGCAGAGCCTGTGCACAGGTGTGCGTGCCCGGCTCACCTGGAAGAACCAAGTCCTGTTGAGGGGTCTGAGGGTGCCTGAGGGCCCCTGCCCTTGGCTCTGCTCCGTGACACTGCACACGCACACACACGCACAGGCTCGGACCAGGGCCCAGAGACCCCAAACTGCAGGGGCCACTCACGCAGGTGCTAGGCCCTGTGGAACATCGGCAGCTGAGGTAGGGCCTGCTGACTCGAGCCCTGGCGGGGAGGGTCCCTGCAGACACCGAGGCACTATGGGACGCCATCCGATACCACCCAGGGAACCAGGCCCTGAGCTGGGAGCCCGCCTGTCCCGTGAGCGGCCACGTGAGCCTGTGCTGGCGCCCGGGGCCAGGGGCCCACTGTCACCAGCTGGAGCACTCGGGCCGGCCCGCACACGGCGGGGTGAGTACGCACTGGGTGGGCGGGGTGAGTACGCACTGGGCGGGCGCGGGCGCGGGCGCGGGCGCGGCCGCCCCAGGCCCTG